ATAGATCTACAGATTTTTAAATTGAAAGTAACTCTAATCCTTGGAAAAGATATTCAAATGATGTGTCTGTACCTACAAAGATCATAATTGTGCAGGCCATGGTATTCCTTGTGACACTGTATGAAAATCAGACTTTGAAGAAGCAGGATAGGAAGAGTATTGATGCCTTTGAACTTTGGTGCTGGAGAAGACTCCTGAGAATACCATGGACAGCCAAGAAAACAAACGAAAGGATCATTGACACTTCACATAGATAGCAGGGTGGCTCCATACACAAACTTCTCATTGTATAATCATTCATTAAATAATTGTGCAGGCCATGGTATTCCTTGTGACACTGTATGAAAATCAGACTTTGAAGAAGCAGGATAGGAAGAGTATTGATGCCTTTGAACTTTGGTGCTGGAGAAGACTCCTGAGAATACCATGGACAGCCAAGAAAACAAACGAAAGGATCATTGACACTTCACATAGATAGCAGGGTGGCTCCATACACAAACTTCTCATTGTATAATCATTCATTAATCTTAAAGAATAATTCCCACTTCTAGGAAGCAAATTTCTTCCCACATTGAAGAAATCACCATAACTAAGGACAATATTTTAAAAACAGTCCTTCCATTTATCAAAGCTTATGAGGCTTTCTTTGTTGTTTCTAGCAACCAATAAATGGTTTAAATTGTTGCTCAGCAGAACTAAAAATTTCAGCCTCCACCCAACCCCATTGTAAACCCACTGGAATGAGAAATTCAGTTGCAAGCAAAAATGAATAAATGTTTCCAAGACAATAAAGAGAAAGTCCAAGTTATATTTTCTTTCAACTGCTTCTTTTATAATTTGAACATTATACATGGCTCTTTGACTCTTTCCCTGGTATACAAAGGTACCTGTGATGAAAAATAGGAATGTGATATTTTGCATGTGATTCATGTTTGAATTATAATGTAGACCTCAGAATGCATAATTGTTTCCCCAAAACTCAGGAAGTTTTATTTTCAATCAGCACTGGAACATTAGTTTTATAAATATATAAAAACCAAAATTGTAACAGCTTTCATTCCATAATGCTGTTTTGTAGATTTCTTTTAGAATAATCTTTCATGTATGTTAGCAACCTGTAATTGTTAACAACCTGTAAAGGCCCTGAATGTGCCTTTTAAGAAAGAAAGAGAGAGAGAAAGAGGAGGGGGAAAAAAAACCCAAAACAAAACTTCAATTTTTATAAGGCTATATACATACTAAAATCAAATAAAAGGAAAGGTTAATTATTGTTGCGGAGTACATGGAAATCCTTGTGATCTGTATTTTCTTTCAGCTAAACAGAACAAATTCTGGTAGAAGTGATGATAAAAAAGCTAAGAATGACTCAACATCAGAAGGTGGCAAGACTGCTGTGGTGTTTTCTTTAAAAAATGAAGTTGGTGGCTTGGTAAAAGCTCTCAGACTTTTCCAGGTAAAACATTCTTCTACTACTTCTTTTAATAATAATATATTGATTGGAAGACGTGCACAATGTTGTACAAAAAGTAATATGTGTGTGTTTCCATTAAATCACAAGACACTAGATTCACTTACCATACCAAACCATTGTTTAATGAGTAAACCAGCTGGGTTCACACATCATGCTTAACCATAACCATGATCTATCATCCAAAATGGCTTGGTTTGCACAACATGCACAAAGCCACACAAACCACATTACAGCTTAAAGTGAAGCTAATTGCTTTATGGTATGCTAACTGTTAATCAGAATCTTGCTTCTGACATGATAGAAGTAGTTGGTTAGTGTGAGGTGGCTAAGCCTGTTCTGTATAGGACTGCAGTCTCCTGAAAGAACATATGTCAATCTTAGTGATAGTAAGAATTATTATCTAAAAATAATTTGGAATTATTAGTATCCTTGGATACCCAGATTGGTAGCAATAACAGACCCACTTAGACCAACCAGTCCTTTCTTTCTCCATTCCTGCTTTAGTTATGCTTGATTAGACTACTGCAATTTGCTTTATATCACATGAATATAAATTTCAAATGCTGGAATATTTTAACTGAGATTCACAGATCAGATCTTACACTATTTCCCTTTATTGCCTCATGATTTGTTTCTACACTCATTTTAAAATACTGGCTTAATCATTTAAAACAATCATTAGCACCCTGAAGACTATACCAAATGCCATACCTAAATCTAAATTTGTCTGGAATAAGTTCAAGGAATTCACAATTGCAATTTAGGACTGCCAGTTCTGCTATTTGATTTGCAAAGGCTGTTTTAAAAAATTAGGCCTTGACCAAGTTATATATCTGGCCAATGTTATGCATTTGAGCTATTCAGCTGATATATTGTAATGTTTTCCTAGAGTAAAACACAGTATTTCAGTACTTGGATAATGGAAAATGGTAAGTCTTGTGTTGATAGGGATTTCTGTGTTTGCGTTGGAACTGTGTGGAATTGTTTATCATGCATTTGCCCTTCTGCTTTGGGAAGGTTATAGGCAACAGAACAGTACTAGTGAATTACCAAACTATTTCATTAATTTCATTTTCATTAAATTACCTTCTCATAAATTTGGTATTGAATTAGTAGCATCTCTAGTATATATGAATGACTGTTTTATAAGAAATTGCCATGGTAAATCAATTTTAAATTATTTTAATTATCCTAAGGTATTTATGGTTTTCGCCATGGAGGTTTAATGAAACAAAGGAATGGGCACAATCATAATTTTATAGTAGTTTATTAGTAGGCTAGCACACAAATAATTAATGCAGTTCAGGTTTCCTTTTAACACAAATGCCTGGATATCTATTCTAAACTACCACTTGTTAAGACCCAGGCACTGAATCACTGCTTTTCCAGTTGCCTTGGGCTAACTGTTTTTTCATCTGTTTTCAGGAGAAGCATGTGAGTATGGTTCATATTGAATCCAGAAAATCCAAGCGAAGGAGTTCAGAGGTAGAAATTTTTGTGGATTGTGACTGTACCAGGAAAGAATTCAATGAGCTCATTCAGCTATTAAAGTATGAAACAAACATTGTGACTCTGAATCCTCCAGAAAACATCTGGACTGATGAGGAAGGCAAGACTATTGTTTCTTTTCCCCATTTTATTATGAAATCAGTCAAATTGTATGAAGAAGCAGAGAGAAAGTCTGATTGCCTCCCATCCTTCTGTTTTCTCCAGAACTGGACTGTGTGCCTTGGTTTCCCCGGAAGATTGCTGAATTAGATAAATGTTCCCAGAGAGTTCTCATGTATGGCTCCGAACTGGATGCAGATCACCCTGTAAGTGTGTAGTAGGGAATATCCAGAGAGGTTGACCAAATAGCCTATTGATAATATAGCAAGTAATTTAAATGAATGGATATTTATTGATACCGATAACGAAAGGTATTGCTTATTGTTTACATTTATTACTTATTTTAATATCCTGCCTTTGCACCCAGATGATAATTTTACTGTAATGTTGTAAAATACAAAATCCCAATAAAATTATTTATACATTAAATTTTCTTAGGCTTTAGAGCAAAAACAAAAACAAAAGCAAAAAAACTTGTCATGAACAAGCCAGCATTCCAGAACAAAACCATGAAATGCAGAGTATAGCTAGCAGGGTTATTGTTCATAGCCTGGAATGTACTTCAGCCCATCTCTTGGGACCATTTGACAACCATAATTTTAATTTGCTTATTTCAAATATCTGGTCTGAAGGCAAGCAATGCTATGAAATCTGTTGTAAGATGTCATGTGTCACTCTTGGAGAGGGTGGGTTTCCTTGTAATGACAATTCAGTGCATGTGCCACTTTCATAGAAGCAGAGACCTGAAGCAAACCCTGAACAGGTAGCTGTCAAGATTAGCTCAGAGGTATCTGGTGGGGAGACTCTACTGCCACCAATGTTTAATTGATTGAACTATTCTTCAAAGAACCTAAGAAGCTGGTTTGTAAAAGGTCAGATATCGATTCACCTAGCACAGTTTTGCTTACATTGACCAGCAGTTGTCCTCCAGGATTTCAGATAAAATTCTTTCCTACTTTTATCTGGAGAAAATTTGGGATGAACCTGGAACCTTCTGTATAATTAAAGTAGAGTCCTTCTCCTGCTCTTTCTTGCAATGTTCAGTCATTACATTACATTACATTACATATCTTAAGCCCACCACTTTTTTTTTTTTTTTTGCTCCATTCTGTTTCTTGAGTTACAGATCCCACATTTTTATTGGTTTTCATATGTGTTTCTGTCTTGGCAGCTCCCTCACCTGTGGGTTTTCTGTGTTTGCTTTCAGCTTTGAAATGACAATGTTCATAAGTATTTAAAACTTGGATGATTTATTTAACCCTGCTTTGATGAAACTCTGCTTTCTGCTGGTTTGGTATAATTAATTATTTTTATTTGCTTTAGGGATTTAAAGACAATGTCTACCGACAGAGAAGAAAATATTTTGTAGATGTTGCCATGAGTTATAAATAGTGAGTACTCAATATTTTTTACACTTTCAATTCTAAAGTCTTTCTCCTCAGATACAAGAAGAATATGCAGTCTACTTTTTCTTGAATATAAAATTTGCAATAGGCAGATGGTGATCATTAAGCTGTGACTATTAACATTACCAAACTGGCATGGGAACATGAAAGTTGAGTTTATTTGGATTGAATTTTGGAACACATAAGTATTGATCCATCCAGCTTTGTTTTGCTTCCATAAATTGGCAGTCTTTTCTAGTGCAACCCGGATTGAAATTAGGACTTCTGAATGCAAACCATAAGTTCTGTCTCTGAGTTCTGGAACTATGGGGTTTTTTTTTTCCATTGTGCTTCTGGCTATGACAATATGCATTTACTGCAAGGCTGTAGAAACTTTGGACATCTGGGTTGGATTGAACTGAAATAGGTACTTGAATATCAGTAATACTAGACCAGTTGACTTGATCATTATATCTAAGGACTAAAAGAGATGTAGGTATCTGGAACAAATGCATGTTTCATCAAAATGATGATACAGGTAGTCCTTGTTTAGCAACTGCCTCATTCAGCAACCATTCGCAGTTACGATGGTGATGAAAAAGTAACTTTGTGACCAACGCTGCATTTACAACCTTCGCAGGTCTGCAAAGCAAAGGAAAGCTGAAATAAGATCAGAAGCACAGTCACTGTTTCACTTAGTAACCTGTTTGCTTAATGACCAAGTTGCCGGTCACTAAATGAGGACTACCTCTCCATGTGTTATGATGTCATAATGCAAGCTTTATCACAAGGAGCCAATTTTGTATTATGATATTGTGATGCATGCTCTGTCACTTTCCCCCTCTGTCCCCTCACAGATGCCTATAAAAGAGGACCCTGGTTCTTTGTTCAACAGAGGGTAAGGTGGCTTGGCATTCTCCAGGGAGAGTGTAGTTGCATGTGAAGGTTCTTGTCTGCTAGTCATCCCTTTTCTGCACAGAGCAGAACTGTAGCTATTAAGACAGGGTGGACTGTTTAGCCAATTAAATTTAGTCATGCAGCTGTCATGGCCACTGCCTTTTCTTTCTCACATCCCTTTTCCTTATATGAGTAGGCCATTCATTCATTCATTTATCTCAATTATATAGCTGCCCATCTCATGCATGTGACTCTTTTGCTTGGTGGAGAGGGACTTTCCCCCTCCCTTGGATGCTTGAGTCCCAGGACAGAAATATTGATAGTTCTGCCTTCCAGTGTGGATGTCCTGCAGATCTGCAGACTTCAACTATCAAAGTTCCCCAACTACTATGGCAACTGCTGAACATTCTGGAAGTTGAAGTATAGTCTTCTAGAGAGGTCCAGGTTGGGGAGAATGGCTATGTGTTTTAAGAAGACAGGGCTTTGTCAAGTGCTTCCTTACATTTATGGCCAAGTCAGGAAACCTGTGCCAAAGGCTTTTTCTTCATGCCATATGCTCTGCCATCAGATTGATGGGCTTCTAGGAAAGGATTTATGTAAGATGTGCTTGCTTGCTTATTCGTTTACACATATTTGCTACAATAATTTCCCCACTAGCAACTTACAGCATTTTCTAGAGTCATCCAACCATTCTTGTGCCAAAATAGCAGTAATGAAGACAGGCACTATATCACATCAATAATGGCTAGGCGATGGTATGAAAATACTATAAGTCATCTGTGAGGAAATGGTATGCAGTTACATACATTGCCCAGTAGCAATAAATGACTGGAAAAAAACAAAACAAAAACAAAATAGAATATTAAAATAGAATGATCATAAAACTGTAAATGGCAGCATAGAATTGCAGTTAAGAGAGAAAAATAAAACTCAGGAACACATAAACACTGGGAATGCTTCCAAAGGGTTTATCTAAGCTGTAGATACGTTGTGACTGGTTACACAGTTATCAGCACCTTCCACCCATTACACTGCTATGAGTGGAACAGACAGATTGGGAGCGCTGTTTCTAATGGGTATATTTTAATATGTGTCATGTGCAAATTAAGCTGTCAGGGATGGCTCTGAGGAAATGTAGGATGGAGACCAGGAATTGCCAAACTTCTGATTGTTTAGACACCCTCATATCTCACAACCCAAATGTTTGCCATTTTGTGCACACTTAAAAGTGTGTGTTGGATCTCTCTGCAATGATTTAGCACTGATCTTCCCATCAGCCCACCCGATTCTGATCTTCCTGTCACATACTGATGACTCTTCCACTGCACATGCATTGATCTTCATAGCGCCTTCCCTCCCTCCTTCCCATTACCCCACCCCTTGAACTTTCTACCACTTATCTGTCAACTTTTGCAGGGGTTTTTTTCCATCGCTCTCATCAGGCTGCCAACCCACCACCAATATCCCCAATCTGTTATGTTACGCTACATAGATTTATATGCTGCCACATCAAAAGACTTCAGGTGTTGTACAAAGTTAAAACAGCATATAAAATATGATATACAACCAAATACCCAAATACACTACATTGACCAAATAAATAAATAAATAAATAAATAAATAAATAAATAATCAGCCACCTCTGATCCAACACACACACACACACACATGTGCACACTTGTTTTGGAAGCCTGGTTTATGTTATCAGCTCTTTCCTGCCCCTGTTGCCAATACAGCCTGGTTTGGGATCCAAATGGGGAAATGCTAGCCTTCTATTTCAGTGAGGCATTCCCAATGATATGCCTAAGTTAGGTGAGCAGAACCACCTGAGGTATGAGTTGACATAGTGGTCTTACCCCAGTCTCCACTTTCAATATGTGCTGAGCTTCAGCTCCAGTTATTTTCAGGCATTGAAGTTCAGGCCAAATTTTAAAGAGCTCCAATAAGATTAAACTCAGTATAGGATTACATATTTGCAGTGTCATATATGTATATTTAATCCCAAGCCAATCAATCTGAGTTCAGTGGGGCTTCTCTCACAAAAGAATGTATGCAAGGATAGGCTTCCCAACTTACTTTGTCTGTAATAATATCAATTCCTTATCTTCTTTATTTACATATGGAGCTTTTTTTTCAAAAATATGTGTGGATATGTGTGTGTGTGTGTATGTGTATATACGTATATATGTGTGTGTGTGTGTGCGTGTGCATTCATTCATTCATTCATTCATACATTCTTTGCAGATCAACCCCACGGGTTGAATTCATTATTATCCTCAGGAGTTGGTAAATTTTCAGCACTATCTACAAATACCTGCTGTTTTGCAATTTTCTTGTCACATAAGTTTCCAAGTCAATTCCAATTGTGTTCTCATTTTACTTGTAACGGGCCAAACTTCACACTTCAAAGCAGGCATGCTTTAATTCAATGTACTCTTCAATTTGATGGTTCCTTTTTCAATTCTGAATCCTTTCTTTCCTTCTCTTCCAACCCCTTTGTGGATTCAGTCTACTCCTGAATATTGTAAGCAAAAAAATGGAAAGGGGGAAATATTTCTTTTTTTGTTGCAGAAGAGAAAACTTGAGAGGAAAAGAGCTCATAAAAGTCTTTATATTATGAATATATATTTAATGAGTAAAGAGTAGCAAAAGAAGAAGGAGGAAATTTGTATTCTGCCAACAGAGCAGTTCTTCCTCTATATAACTACCACTGCCTTATTAGCATTTAATAAGGATCTCCTAAATATAGTACTTTAGTGCACAAGCTCCTGGATTTGGTTTAGGTTAGAATTAACCAGTTTCTGACCAGCCTGACCTATTTTTTCCTGATTCCCTGCTGTGACAATTTTTCTACATTTACTGTAAGAAATTAGGAAATGTTTAAATGTGGGTGCAATTTGGCTTAATTAACACATGCTAATGAGCAATGACTCCCCCAGTCCCTGGATGGATGAAAAACATGTTAGTGGTAGTCATTATTTCCCATACTGTGTTTTTTTTAAAGCTAACTTTGACCCTTTCCACCAGAAAGGCATTAATTTTTCTGAGTGGTCACTCTTACAACATTGTGCATTGCTCTGATTTGGCTCTGTGTGTGTTTTTGCACTGTTCTATTGTCCCTGCATCTGTGATGTTGTGAAGCATTTGTTTTAATGAAGAATCTATAAATGCAGAGTTAGTTAGCTTTATAAGAGAACTAAAACAGAATGTGACTGAACATATATGGCAAGCTATTGCTGAATATAGTTGAATATGTCTCTTGGAACTAAAAATTGATTTTAATAAACTCAGAGGAATAGCATGATTCCATAAAAGGAGAAGCTAATGGGAAAAGAAGCTAAAGAAGGCAGGAGTTCATAATAACGGAAATATAATTACAAACAATTCCAAGGAGGAAGAAAAATTCAGGTAGCAGAAGAAGCCAATATGTCTGCACGAAACGTTTAGTGAAGATCTGAAACCCAAAGAGAACAGAAATGGTCAGAGGGACAAGTCACTAAAGAAGAGTACAAACAGGAATCAGGAAAGTGAGATCTCAGAATGAACTTAGATTGGCAAAGCATGTGAAGAAAAAGGGCTTCTTTAGGTATGTTCAAATAGCAAAAATGACAACAAAGACGAGCTACTCATCCCTTCTTTTGGCTTAGTATACTCCAGTGTTTCTCAACCTCAGCAACTTTAAGATGTGTGGACTTCCAACTGCCAGAATTCCCCAGCCAGCCATCTTAAAGTTGCTGAAGTTGAGAAACACTGGTATATCCCAACACAAGTTGTTCAACTGGCTAATTGGGGAGAGAAGGATGAAGGAGCAGATTAAAGCTTGAGATTGATAGAAAGATGGTCAAGGAATATCTGTTGAGTGCAGAGCCAGATGAATTGCATCTTAGGGTATTGAAGGAAGTTGCCTGGCTGAAATTTAATGTCTTCAATCTGAGAAATTGTGGAGAGCTGGCAAAGTACTAGATGATTGTCAAATGTTGTCCCTATCTTCTTTTTCTGCACTGGATCTTACTATATTTTTCTCTTATTCATGAGATAGCAAGCCTCTTTTCTAGAGAAAAATAATTGTAAAATTATTGCAAGGAACTAATTGCCACATGTCTTCTGGAAGAGTAGAAATTATTTGCTTAGCTTTTAAACTGTTATGTTTTTTATTATGCTGATTGTATATTAATAGTTTTCTGTAAGTTTTAACATGTGCATATATGGAGCTCCCTTTTTACTATGTTTACTATAATGTGTAAACTTTTATATATTATGTTGATTATATTTTAATACTTCCTTCTGCAACTTTAATAAGAGCTAGATAGCTAACTTTCCATACAGGATTTCCCCTGACATGACCAAAGATCCAAATTCAAACATAAAATGGGATCTCAGATACAAAATTCAAACACAAAATATGAAATATGACATTTCTCCCAAATTCCTCACAAAATATATACTGTATGGGGAAGAGAAAAAAAAAAGCTCAGCTTTTAACAATTCCTAGCTATTGGTAGAAATGACATCATATTTCCAGAATAATAAATCTTTTGATTTATTTAGCAGACAATGTTTATGAACATTATAACACTATACATACATTTTATATATTATGGCTCTCTTTCTGCTAATCATAATGGGGTAATTTTGGAGGTGACCTAGAGAAGATAGAAGTAGCATAATCACAATTAGAACAGCTTTTGGCATTAAACAATATAATATGTAGGGGTAGGAATGCTTTGCTATCTTAGTTTTGCCCCCAAGGCTGTCTGCCTGCCATTCAACATTCTGCCATGATTTGCTAGCAACATTCCCCCCACCCCCACCTCTCTCTAGCAAGGCTTTGCTAAGGACACTGTAGTCCTTATCAAAAGAAATATATGAAAGGCAGGGCGAGGTGGGGGAGAGAAATAAAAAGATGCTACTTGTATTTAATGAAAATTTCCAGAATTTTGTGGAACTGGAAGAAGTCAGTGAATAGGTATGTAAAAATGTAATATTAGATTTTGTTAGAGTTGACGAAAAGCATGGATTGGACTGACAAGTACTAACTCCTTTTGAAATAACTGGGGGATTGGTATGGATATTGACAGTTTAGAAAATGTAATTCGACAAGCTACTGTTTTCTCAATGTTTACTTCTTTTTGGTTTTTTGTTTTAGTGGCCAGCCAATTCCTAGAGTAGACTATACACCTGAAGAAATAAAAACTTGGGGCGTGGTGTTCAGAGAGCTTTCAAAACTGTATCCTACTCATGCTTGTCGAGAATATTTGAAAAATTTCCCATTGCTGACAAAATACTGTGGCTACAGAGATGATAATGTCCCACAGTTGGAGGATGTCGCTATGTTTCTCAAAGGTAAGCATCAAGCTTGACTCCCAACTAAGGAAAGTACTGTAAAATCATTTACACAAAGTGTGTTAAAATCTGATATTTTTCTCTCTCTTGATGAGTCTGTTTGGTAACTTTGTCTTAGAATACTTCCATTGCACCCCTGCAATGTTTCTACCCATCCAAATCCCTTACAAATAGTTTGAAACAAACTTTTTATTAGCTTCCTCTTTGCTGGTCAAAACATTCTAAGTATTGTCCTATCTATGTTTATGAATCTAGTGAGGACAGAGAATACCATGAACCAATCTGTCTTCCTACTTTGTCCCTCAGGTGTCCAATAGGAGAATGCGAAAACATTATCTAATCAGATCCTTCCTGCCCTCTGAGGGAGCTCCATTTGTGGAACTACAAAATAAAAAGAGATAAAATAAATGGCTAATATCCTAGCCTCTGTATTTGTATTTGTGTATATTTATCAGATGACTTGTATAAACACACTCATATATACAATGGAGATTGTTATGAGTGGAAAATACATGGGAAAGGTTATAAAAAATGTGAACACATTTCTTGAACCCTTTCTGCAAATGTCCCACTCATTGTGAGACCAGTTCACCTTTGTATTTGAAATCCCCTACAACTTGTGAAGCTGAAATGAGACCCATACCAGAAATGTTGTGAGCAGGAGTTTTAACCAATAACCATGGTTATTGGTTAACCACGGTGGTGGTTAACCATGGTGACATGTTGCTGAATTTGAGGAGTGGTGGAGGAAAAGAAGATAAGTTCTAAGCCAAGTATAAACAAAGAAAAAGGCACCAGGGATGGGACACTGAACTGCAGTGGGCTGGAGAAGAGAAGCTTAATTGAGCTGCTGTGCAGTGGTGGACTCGCACCTGGGATTTGGGAGGCACAGTAAAGCAGTTATTCCCTCCCATAGGAAAATGAAGCACCCGTATGAGTTGCACAAGCATTCATGCACTATAAAAATGTATTGCTTTGTATTGCAAAGCTGGAAAAAACTTAACAGTTCCCCAAAGCAGATGATGATGTGGGAACAGTCAGGTCCAACATGGAAGGGGCTCAAACAAAAGTGCTCTGAATATGATTAAATCAGTCATCCACCCATGGATGGGGATTTCAGCTTTGGCCTTTCTATCCATTACCTAATGCTCTAATCCAGGATGGGCAACCTGGTGTACTCTGAATATTTTGGATTTTGTCCTGAATCAGTCTCACTGTGTATGGCCAACACAGGATGATGGAACCTATGGTCCAGAATGTCTAGAGAGTACTAGGTTCTACTTTTCCCCCTAATCACTGCATTCATCTGGTGATCAAATATCTCTATTTTGCATGATTTTTCAAAGACATAATTTAGACATTTTAATATTTTCCTTATCTCTCTGCATCCTCCTTTCCTTTTATGTTGCCTTTTAGATTGTAATATGGAGGGGAGGGACCATATGGCTATTCTGGAAGCATTTTTTGACTGATGCTTCATGTGCTGAAATCAGCAGGAGTTGTTGAAGCTCAGATGAAAACTAGCTTTAGACAAAGCAGACAAGCTTTCGACCTTCCCCTTATAGTTCTGATCAGTCTGACATTTAGTGAATGCTTTTTGCCCCATACATTCGATAACTTTGTTTTCCTTTCTAGAGAGAATAAAGTTATCTGTGGTATTTCTGATGACATATTAAATTTAATGGTGAGGTTAGGTAGGAAATGAACTCCCTGTTGACATTAAAAATGGAGGAAAACTACAGTAAAGTATACTAATAATTAAAAAAATCAGAACAATACTATTTCAATTGAAAATATATAGTGCTTAGTCTGAAAATCTAACTCTGCCTTCTTCCATTATTATACCTCTATGGCTGCCAGCATTTAACATTAACTGGCTTGCTGTCCTTTCAGTCTTGTGCGTCATACCTTTCAATGGTGCCTCTTGTCTGATTCTCTCTGTCCCTGAGAGATTCCTTTTTTTCCATTTGCTCAAAGCTGTAAAAATGTTGGAAGGCTCCAAAATATTCACTCTGCCAAAGACATCAGTAAAAAAAATGCAGGGGAGGTGGGGTGGGGAAACTAAAGCTTGGTGTCCTTTTTTAAAAGAATTAACCAATGAAATAGTAAAATACCTGAAAAGAACCAGCTTCAAAGTCACAGGAAGTTTAGAGTGACCCAAGAAAGAGAGTTGTCATAAAGACAATGGCAGTTAAAAGGGGGGAAATGAGACTCTATATTTGATGCATTTGTACAGAAAAAGGTTACTTAGAACTTTCTGATAAGAGGAATACAACTAACAGGACCACTTTTAGGCTTTTAGTGTAAGATGGCAGCCACTTCAGATGGTACATCTAGGAGACAGTAGCAATGTCTTGTAATAGACAAATAGGTGCCATATGGTTTTTCTTCACCCACCAGGCTTTCCAGCTGCCTTCAGAGATGGTGGAAATTTACTGGCAATTTTCTTCTGAAAAAACATTCAACCTTCAGCCCAGTCAGCTCTTCTTCATGGAATAGGAAGAAATCAAATTGTTCTTTGGGTTCAGGCAGCAAAACATCTTAGCCATTTCAGACAGCTATACCTTTAACTTAAATATAGTTTTTGGATTGTTAACCACAGTTATAAAAGATTGTACATACCCCATTATATCTTCAGTAAAGATTTTTAAAAATAATTTCAAAGAAAAATCTAGTAGTGGCTACTCCACATCTAGAAGATTCTTCATATATCTGTATTTTACACGCAGGTAGTGTGTGTATTTGCTGGAAACAGTAGAAAAAAAATAGAACAATAGAAATTGTGGATGATTTCATAGGATGTGCAGAGGATCGCTCTTTCCTGAAGTAATAATGATACGATTACCTACTTCTGGGATTAGGTGTTAAAATCTGCCTGATCAAAGGATTTAACTCCAGCCCCTTAAAAATGTGTTCAGAACAGATTTCGTAAGGCAAACAGCATCTCCCGGGATTCTCGCTAACACAGCCATTGTTGAGAATTCTGTGAGTTAGTCTACATATCTAGTGATTGCTCATGCTGGATACATTTTGCTTAGAATGAACAGCCCTAGATGAAGATTTGTAGAATTATATAATTATGGAGTTAGAATGGGCCATTTAGTCAATTAAACTGATTCCCCTGCTCAGCACAGGAATTCAATTTAAGACATTTACAAAAGATGGTTTCCAGTCTCTACTTGGACGTATCCAGTGAAGGGGAGCCCGATTCTTGGTAATTGATTCTATTGTTAAATTCTCTTATTGTTGGGAAATTTTTCTAACATTCAGTGAGAATCTGCCTTCCTTTAACTGAAATCCATTATTCTATGTCCTGCACAAATAATAGAGAACAGGTGTTGACCTTCTGTATGACAATCTTACAAATTGCTATCATATCCCATTAAGTTTTCTCTTCTCAAGGCTAAATACTTCCAATTCCTTTAATCTTTCATCTTAGTTCATAGCTCCTGATCATCTCCATTGCCATTCTGTTCCAACTCATCTTAAAATGTAGATTCTAAAACCAGACATAATTCTTAAGATGTGGTCTGAGCAATACAGATTAAGGTGGAATAATGATTTCCCATGATTTGGAAACAGTATTTCTGCTGATACAGCTTAAAACTGAATTTGACTTTTTGGCAGCCCTATCACACTGCTAAATCATATTCATTTTGTAATTAACTAGTATTCCAAGATACTTTTCACAAGTATTATTACCATCCTCTACCTGCGCATTGGATTTCTGTTTTCTAAGTGAAAACCTGTCATTTCTGCCTTTTAAATTTCATTCTGTTGCTTTGAAACCATTTTAATCCCCTATCAAGATAATCTCCTAGGGTATTAACTATCCAATCAAATTTTGACATCTGCACATTTGATAAGCATTGCTAATGCTTGCTGATTACCATATCATGGGGTGCTTTTTAAAATGCTTTGCAGAAATCATTCTCATAATCAATTAAATAAGTTAGTCAAAAGAATGAGATAAGGTTATGGCAAGGTTTATTCTTGACAAACCTGTACTGACGTCTGCTAATTGTTTTCAAGGTGTTTATAAATTTTCTTTAAGGTACTTACAGATTGATCTCTTTATGAACTGCCCTAGAATTTTCTCAGTATTGATGTCAGGCTGATTGGTCTGTAGTGTGCTGGATCTTTTCTTTTCCTTCTTTTGAAGATAGGGGACAGCATTTATTCTTTTACACAGAGCATCCACAGCAACCTGAAGTTTTATCTAAATGATGAAATGTGCATCATGATAACATTCTGTGAGATCTCTCCATTTATGTTGTTGTTGTTGTTGTTGTTTAGTCGTTAAGTCGTGTCCGACTCTTCGTGACCCCAT